TGCAAAGTAATTTCGCGGGTAGGCGTCATAGGTCACTCGGGGCGAACGGTGACATTACGCGTTATCGGCCGCTGCTCATGCATCATCGCATGACGCACAGGAACCCGTCAGAGTCCAATCACCGATCGTAATCGCCGATAAATCAAATTTCTCTCGCGCCCCCCCACCCCTCCCCCTATCTGCGGATCCCCCTTCAGCTCTCTGCTTCCGCCATTCACAGCCACGCCAGCGGCCCTCAATAACGCGTGCACGCACATGCATCTCGACGTTTATATTCGCAATCGTAGAATCAGGATGATCGACACCAGCCTTTTACCTAAGCCTTGATTTCGTACCGGTTATATACCGGATCGAATATCCAGTTAGAAGTTTTTTTTTTTTCACGTATATACGTAATTTGGATTTGTTATGCGTAATGTCATTCGAAATATCGGGAATTAAACCAATGAAGAATTTCGATGTCAGAGATTCAGAGTTTTTAGGGCTCCTGATTACCAGTCACCATATTGGAATCGTATCATAAGCGAAAAATATGATATGTTAAAGCACGTTGAAATTTTTTGCATGCCATTCGTAAATGAGGAGAATTCGGATAAGACAAAATAATGAGATCGCTTTGAAATACTTGTATATAATATAATAATGATTTTATTCTTCGGCGTATATTACAGTCAAGAAGGGACTTGGTTTATACAAAATATCTTAAACTCACTCATCCATCCGTCTCTCACATCTTTTACGCCTATCCTATTTCATTTCTAATCACAAAGTCCCACTTCTATTTTAGCACGCCCAACTTTATCATTCTACAATTCATATTTACAAAATTTATATTTAATTAATTAAATTATATTAATTAAAATATAAAATAATTTACATTAATTTACAAAATTAAATATTCCACCTTAGTGTATAACACAGCCTAATTATTTATTTCCCATTAATTTATAATATTAATCTTTCTCATCCTATTCCTATAGCACTCTTCCTATGTCATTTATTTCTATTTCTATATTACTCCAAGTTTTATAAAAGGGAAGTCACTCTTTATGCTTATTTTTAAAATATTTACAAAAATAGATAGAAATTATCCCTTTTCCCCTTGACTCAGTCGTAAAAGACACGTGAAATGAAGTCTATTTAGGCAAACATATAATTCGACAACTGATGAAAGAAGTGGAAAATATGCCTTTACGTATAAAAAATTCAAAGATCACTTTACTTTTGGCCCATTTTTACGAATTTAATAAGTATGAGACAAATTACATTTTCATAATTAAGCACATAATAACGAAATGACATACAAGACAAAATTCCGTTGTCAGCATGTCATTTTTCATGTCTATTAACATAAAGAGAGACAAGGACAAGGATAAGATTGGACAAAGTGAACAAGTTTCTAATGCTTATTGTTGACATTGTGTTGTTACCGTCAAAATAGGGTTCTTAACTGAGTAGTCAGGAGTCTTAAACTTCAATATCTCTCGGAATATTTCTCTAGTATCTCCGTGGAATATATTTTAGCTCTTTTTCCTATTTTGCTTTATATTTTGTTATTTCCAAAAATATGCAGAATGCACGTTAGGGACCGTGCTATGAAACTTGCGCGAACAATGCAACTATAGAACAACGCCAAACTTCCCGGTTGAATGACCAGTTTGGTGTATCTTGCCATAACAGCGGGTCTCTTGATTGCACAGGTCTCATGGATCAGGCAGCGAGATTTGCATATTCTCACTGTCGGCATTCTAACATACACAAATGACCAGCGTTTCCAATCGTTGCACAGCGATGGCAGCGACGAGTGGACCTTGAAAATCAGTTCGCCGCAAGTGCGAGACAGCGGAATCTACGAATGTCAAGTCTCGACAGAGCCGAAAATTAGTCAAGCTTTCAATTTGAGCGTAGTAGGTACGTGCACATGTATTATCTTTCTCTTTTCATACAACCGATAGCCGATTCACTCGACAGCCATCCAAGTAAATCCGTTGAATTTCGATTAAATCTTCTCAGGCATTAAAAGAAAATAAAGGAAGTAAATTACTGATTGAAATTGTAATAAAATAATTCTTTACAAGCAGCGATTAATTTTACAACAAAAAAATGCTAAATTTATTTTTACGAATAATAAAAGTAAAAGAAAATTGTAAAAATCCTAGAGATCTAAGGATTGTGTTTTAAAGCGGTTACAAGTTTCAGTGAGCTTCAATAACCGGTTTCCGGGAGGCCATTTGTTTTTTAAGTGAATTTTTAAGCGGTCAATTCGAGCGGTTCGACGTGAGTTAATTGCAGCTTTGCGGTGGTTTAAACGAAATTGTGATCATACTTCTTGGCTCGGGCTTTACTCCGACCTGACCGAGCGCCCCTGAGCCAAAAAACCACTTTAACTTTGTTCTGTCCTCGTGTGCAGTCTCGAAGGCAAAGATCAACGGCAATTCGGAGCTCTACATCAAAAGCGGGAGCGACATCAATCTGACCTGCATCGTGCTGCAAACGCCGGAACCGCCATCCTTCATCTATTGGTGAGTTTGAGCGTTCTCCCTTGACGATAGCGCGGATTGAATTTGTTCCACGTATATTTCGACACTGTCGGGTTTTGCGAAATCCAAATCTACAGTGACCTCCATTCGGCAGAATCTGCTTTATCGAAAAATTTCAACGAGCGAGCGAGCGAGCGAGCTCCCGTAAAACGGATCTCCGATAAAGTGAATCCTGCGATGGAGTTAGTCCTTAGAGGAGGTGGTTTTTAGAATCCATAGATCCTGGCGCTTCGCTAATGCGCTCATTCCTCAAATCCTCTTGTTTCCACATTCACACATTTTAAATACATTTACATTCGCATATATTCAGTCATTTATTTAATTACTCACATCGTAATTATAATAATTGAACAAAAATACGTGAACGCTTTTTGTAAGATGCTTTTTATTTTGTATTTGATGCTTATTATTAATGTATTTATTAATGTACCATTGAAGACAAGACTTTAATTTGAGTTCGAAACGTTTGGAATTTTTTATTAATAATAAACTGAGTTAAAATTGAAAAATGTAATTTGCGCACCGTCTACAGCTCTCATTTGCCTTATATGTTAATGCCTTCTATTCTTACATAATTTTTCAGGTATAAGGGTGATAACGTGATAAACTACAGCCAACGCGGCGGCATTAGCGTCGTGACGGAGAAGCAAACGCGAACGTCACGTCTTCTGATCAGCAGAGCGCTGCCGGCCGATTCCGGCAATTACACCTGTGCGCCATCCACAGCCGAGTCAGCCAGCGTCCTCGTCCACGTGCTCAATGGTGGGTGAGTCACGAAATGAAATCGTATCCATCACCGAAAATCCTCAATATTATCGCCGAAACGTCTCGCAATACGTCTCCGTATATCTTCCATACGATAATATTGACAAAATTATTGGCCTTTCGTTCGAAATAGTCTTTTTGGCCCCGGATGCTCCTCGGATATCCGGATATTTCAAATAAAATTTCAAACGCATGTAAATATGTCAGCACGGATAAAAATTCGTCGTATACGTTAAAATTGCCCGAGAGATACATTGGAATACAAAGTGATATCTAGCCGCGTGTCAACATGTCGCTACAAAAAGGCTTTATATTGTTCGTTTACCGTATGGATTTTCGGCAAATTGTATCGTGTTCCGGAATCAAACAGTTTGGACGATAATAAATATGGAGATATCGGTAAATATCTGTTGCCACCGAAAATTGCTTTAACGAGTACTAATATAATTTTATAAATTAATTTTAATTTATTTTTGTTAGCTGTAGTTTGAAACTTGAAAAAGTGGGATATAATCAAATGCGATATTTATCATTAAATTTGACGGAGCCCCTCGTAGACTTTGCCAGAAAGCATAAAATCAATTAATTAATCCCAACAAGTTTGTATCAGTTTTAATCAAGTTTCCAACGAAACGTTTCAAGTATTATTATAAGGAAGTTGTAGTCCGTTTGAAGAGATGTTAAAGAGAAACAATTTCAATTCAATCGCGTTT